TGCCTTGGAACTCGGCATCCTGAAGGCTGGCCAGCATGTTAAACAGCCGAGCCAAGTTCCCTCTCCTGTGTATTCTCTGCCTGCTTCTGCCCACAGGCGCGGATGATGGATGTGTGACCCCCTGGGTGTGAGCGAGGCTGGTGGAGTTGGGGGCAGCTCGCAGGCTCAGATGGGATTGGAGGCCACAGACTTGATGAACTTACTCTTTTTTCTTCTGCACATCAGGAACCAGTACATCTGGAGATAATGATCTAAATGCACTTTCTTCCCAGTGTGACACAAATGTGAATTCCCAAGTCACCTAACTCTACATCATGTAATTATGAAAGCAGCTATTAGTGGCGAGGAAGATAAGTAGGAGAGGCTAATCCCACATGTTTAAAATCACCGTCTGCTCTCTGGTGCAGATAATGGCATGCAAAACCAGTTAGGAACTAGCACTGGAGGCCGAGCTGCTTCCGGGCAGCTCTGGAGTGGCTGCTGGGTGACAAGGACCTGGGAATCTTTTGGAAGAGCACCCTGAGTATGTGGCTTTGGGGACTGATGGGCACCTTGTGATGTTCAAGTGCTTTTTCCATGGAAAGAGCGGAGCAGCTAGTTAACAATTCAACCACTAGAAGTCTGATGGCTTTTTTCATAAATAGATTTATGGGTAGGGAAGATAAAGCATGTTAGAGTACTGTGCTGATGGGAAAAGGTTCTGAGACAACCTGAGAAGTGCCAGGACTGACATCAGCAGGAGCTGGGAAAGCAGTCTAGGTGAGGATGTTTCAGGGCATCTTATGGACAAGGGCAGATGTGACACCAAGACTACTTCAAGCTGGATGTTAGGAAGAATATCTTCTCAAAAAGGAGTGGTGATGCACTGGCACAGGCTGCCCAGGGAGTGGTGGAGGCACTGTCCCTGAAGGTGTTCAGTAACCATGGAGATGTGGCACTGAGGGGCCAGTGGTCAGTAGGTACAGTGGGGGTGGGTTGATGGTTAGGGTGATCTTTTTCAGCCCTAGAGATTCTGTGATTCTATGATAAACGCCTATTACTCAGTGTGGTTCCATCCTGAGGTACCTGGTCCTCCTTTGAATAAACTTCCTTAGGTACTGTTGGCCATACAGCAATGGCTATGCCATGGTTAGGATGCAGGCGTGCTTGTCCAAAGCTAGTTTGGTTATCTATGCCCTGCACTGATGAGTGCAGAAGCACCCTACATTATGGAACATGCTCTCAGTATTTCCTTAATTTTTCTCCCTAAAATGAATGCTCATAGAATGGTTGATATCAGCAGGCTCTTGTAAGGAGGAATTAAAAACTTGACAACATTTCAGCAAACTTGCTATAGGTTTAATTCCAGTGAACTAAAATTCAGCATGATTTTATTTGAGTTTAGTGTTCTGTACATCAAACAGTCCATAGAGTAAATTTCTTGGTATTGGCTTATCAAAATAATAGCTGAGTGGTTGATAGTCCTCTATGAGCTACAGATTTTCTGCCTGTTAAGCATGTTGCTTAATTCTTCTATGTCTATCTCTTTAATAACTTCTCCATCCTGAAACAATTCTATCAAACATTCAGTTTCTAACAGGAAAGATACAAAAAACCCAACAACCCAGAGCTGTATTAGTAGTATACTCTGAAGAGAAGATGTTCTTCCTCCCCGAACTGAAGGAAGTTGGAAAAAAAAAAAAGAAAAAAAGGTAGATCAAATATTTATAACATTGCCTGCAGTCATAGTGGGGTCTTTCTGAGTATGGTTCATCCTGATTTACAGTCTATCCTTATTCAAATGACATGAGAAAGCACACAACATAAAATGAAGTCAGGCCATATCAAAATAGAAAACATCCTTTGTAGAGAGAAAACAGCCTTTTCCTTTCCCAAATAGGAAAAAGCCACATTGCTATAAGTGCTGTTATGCTTTTTTGAAAGCATTAGGCTTAGGTTTGTACTATCTGAATGATTCTAATATAAAGGAGTTTAATGCTGAAAAGCAAACCATAAGAGAAGATTCTTAACAATTTTCATCTTCTTGGATTAAACAATAATGTGCAGAAAAATACAGCCTCATTTCGTAGGAAGAAAAGATTGAAAGCACTTGGAAGGGAGTGAAATCCCTTCCTTAGTTAAGGCACCTGCCTGGTAAGTGATGCAGAATGGTGCTACGTGTGACAGGGAATTGTGGGGTGGTTTTTTAAGAGGATAATCCATGTAATACAGCCTATTTCTTTTTGTAGCTGTCTATCACCTTTAAATAAAATTGGCTGCAAAGCTATTGCCTTAGAAGCAAACAAACACAAATAAGATAAACAGATGAGGCTGAATGTGAGATTCTTTGTACCTGGGTAAATTTTAAGCAGTTTATTGGGATTAAAATACAAATCCAACATTACAGTCTGGAATCAAAGGTGACCAACTTCTGGAATTGGTGACAAAAATTACCTTTCCTCAGTCCATGCAAAGGGAGTGTGGGAGGGAGAAGTGAAGGGGTCAAAGTTGAGATGTTTTAGCCCATTTCTCATCTGAAAAAGAAAGGGTGTGTGTCATATTTTGAAGCATTACGATACTGTGAGCAGTGCTTTTCCTCACATGAACTTTCTTGCCCAAAGGGTGCTGCTTCCTTTCATACGAAACAAGACAAGACTGGAGAAGTGATTGCTTCCTTTATTCCAGCACCGTAACCTTTTTATCTCCCAAGGGTTAAGAGCAAGCCAACAGTCCACATGCTGGAAAGCAGAATTTGCAGAGGGGAACAAAACCAGATACATTATCCCACAAAAAAGGGAAACAAGGGACATTAAAGGTTGTGAGTTGCCAGGGTCAGGAAAAACACAGCGAGGCTTGCAAGGAAGGATAGCTGAGTTTGCCTTTGATGTTTTAATTATGATTTTCTCTGTAGTGTCACAATCACCCACCGAAGGTTTCAGACACTTCCACTGTTTGATTTCTTTTCCTCCGGTTGTCTCATTTTTGTCATGATGTATGCCAAAGAAAATCCAAGCGTACAAATTTATTGCATAAAGGAGATGATCTAATAATAAATCCAGGGACTGGAGCCTCCTGTGTCACAGCTCAGGTCTGTTTGTCTTCATAGCTGTATCTTAGGAAAAACCTGCTCCCTGTCACAGGGTCATATGGACACACATGAACTCTTTGGTACTGACATGTGCTATTCACTTAGGGGTTCAGTTGTGCTTTCTCTTCATGTGCTGGGGGCATTTTTGAGGTTCACTGCCTTGTCCTGTGGAAGGATGCTGCCTTCCTACCTATTCTCCTGTACTTAATGAACCACCCAAGTGCCATGAGCAAACCATCATGACTACTGGTTCACTTTCTGTGAAGAGAAGAAAGGAATGGAACAAGGACTACTCAGATGAGGCCAAATTCTGAGATCTCATCCTAATCCTCAAGCAATCTCCCAGAGATCTGTGAGTGTCCTGGAGGGCTCAGGCCAACAAAAACATTGCCGGAGTGGCCTTAGGTAAATGCACAACGCAAATTTCCAAAAAGCCAAGAGATCCTCAGTTGCTGCAGGTCCTGCACATGTGCAGAAACACAGACGTGCACCTAAATAGTTCAGCAAGGAAAACAATTCCAACAGTGGAATGAGTCTTTTTTTCCTCATGTGATCTCCCCGCATCCTGGAACCACTTGTAGAGGAACCCTAGGGGTGTCTAAATCCCACGGCGCTATGCCATGGTTACATCAGCACCAATTTTGCTCAGAACTTAAACCACGGTAACACCATAGAAGGGTGGTATCCAAATGATGGGATGCAGCCACTAGATAAGGGTTGGTTTTCAGGTGGTATAAAAAATAATAATAAAGAAAAGATCTGAATGTGGATCTCGGTGTGGACCCTTTATAGTTTATTCTGTCACAAGCCTTTCAAGACTCAAAATGGTGTTGAATATACACCATATTCCTACCCTATTACCTGTAAAGTATTTGGTGTTGGACTAGATGATCTCTAGAGGATCCCTTCCAGCTCTGATGATTCTGTTATTATGTGATTTCTTCTTGTCAATCTTTGAGACCTGGCTCCTAGAAAATCTGCACAGAGATTCATAAGAAAGAGAAGGAATCTAAGAGCAAAGCATGTGCATGTCCTCATCTCAAAGTAAGAAAAGTTTAGACTGAGGTTACATTCTGCAAGAAAACAATCTTTAGATGAAAAAGTTGGCAGAAACAAAAGATGCTTTTTATTTTTAGGAAATAGCTTGGATTTGAATAACAACACTGCTGGAGAGTTAAAGCAAAGAAAGGTTTTACCTTTTCACAAGAAGTTTAATACAGCACTGCTGGTTGACAACTATGGTTCTCTGCTGTGTGGTGATGCTTTCATTACTTTTGTTAGTAAAAAGCTGCTTGCGTTAATATCGTGCTTTAGTGGCAAAGAAAAGATAATGCAGTGCATGTAGGCATGTCATGAACAATAGGCACTACGTCTTAAAGTGAGCATTTGACACATGATTGCATAATTAAATGCCACCTGCATGCTCCTAGCAAGGTGGGGAACCTTAAGTTTCTATCTGCTGTTCGGAGGATGAATAGTGAATAACCTGTATAGGTTTCCATCTACACCAACTTGTTTGCTATATAATGACACTGATTTTGATAGGACAAGAAGGTGTGGCCTCAAGTTGTGCCAGAGGAGTTTCAGGTTGGACATTAGGAAGAATCTGTGGAATGGTGATGCACTGGCACAGGTTGCCTAGAGAGGTGATGGAGTCACTGTCCCTGGAGGTGTCCAGGGAGATACTGTACTTAGGGACATAATTCAGTGGGCAATATTGGTGGTAGACGGACAGTTGGACTGGATGATTTTAGAGGTCTTTTCCAACCTTACTGATTCTATGACAAACTTGCATACTCCTCAGACAGTGTAGCTGTTGGTACCACAAAGAACCTTTTCATTGCCACCCTATAGAGAACAGCAATAATACTGTTGCAAACCTCTTTGATCCTGTTTGGCTGCAGTTCTGATTGCTGTTGTTTCTGCATTTCAGCTCGTCACGAAGTCATCACCAAAGAGATCCTCGAATTAGATACATGGGAGAACCAGTGGAATGTGGTGGCCGTCAATGTCCTCATGCACGACAGCTATGATGTGTGCCTTGTTGCTAGGCTGAATCCACGGGATCTTATCCCTCCTCCTCCTGATTTAGTGGACCAATAAATGTTCAGTGGCTCTCTGCTTCCAGATTCTGCGGAAAGAGAAGAATATGGAGAGACAAATGGGAATATTAATGGAGCCGGTGGCTCCATTCTCTCCATTGGCTAGGTGCTGCGGAGAGAAGCTTGTACCACAAGCTTAAGCACAGAATTGCCTTCCAAATGTGCTTCTCAGATGATGCTTAATTTGCTAGCACTGGTACTGTGGACTTCTGTGTTTGAAAGCTGAGTTTGCCAGCCTTGTCTCTTGGTCTACCACTTGGTGTTCAAGCTGCAGTCTGGTGGTGCTTCTGGGGCCCGTGCCTTAGGAATGGAGGCAGCCTGGGGCTCACCTTGCAGCACAGCACTATGTTTGAAGGAAACCTCTAACCAGGAGAAACACTCCTTTGCTGTCCAACTCACTGGGTTCTAGTCTACTGAGGGAGCTAAGAAATATCTGAAGTCATCTGATGGAAACCAAGCTGCTGTACCAAGGTGACAGATTAATTGGCTGATGCAGGAGCAGAGGGAAGATGGAGAAGAGTATTTGTTTGTTTAAGCAAAAAGAAAGCACTAGCCAGGGTTCATTAGCCAAGTACAATAGCTGCTGCAAACTTTATCTAACCCACAGTCAGGGCATCCCTTCTTTGGCAGCAGAGCTGAAGTTGTGCTGGTAGAAAAGTGGTCTTCTGGGAACAAGACACATGTGAGTCTTCCTTTAGTAATCCTGCACCAAATATGAGAAACTGCTAAAATTTTCACGTAGATCCTACCTGTCACGAGGCAGAAATTTGTGTGGTCAGATGGAGAAGGGGATGTAAATGAAAACAAAATAAATGAGAAACAGTGTTAGCTCTGCATCTACAGAGAAAGGATAAAAGCACCAGGCATTTAGAGTTTATGTAAACTAGTTGGTTTTGTAGAAGTAGCTTTAATGAAACAACATCAGGCAAATTCTGCACCAATGGAGTTGGCTATAATTGCAGTGAAGAGGAGTAATTCAAACTGTTTCTTAAAGCAGTGCTGGCCTTTCTGGGGCTTGAAGGCAATGGCTTAGAAAATTGTTACCAGTACAGCTGTCTTATTTGAGCTACCAATAACTGTTCATCATCCCCTGATGCCTGCATCACAGAATACATGTGAGTGATTGCCTGGGCTGTGTGGACAGGAGAACTGGGAATTTCTGTTGTGCTCTGGGGCTGAAATTGGAAATGACTGTATGCTGCAACAGACAGTGAATGACAGAGGCAAATGCTGTAAGAGTAAGCTAGAACATAGCAGAAGAACCATCACAGTCAGCAAAAAGTTGTTTGTTATGGTTACAGAAACAGTAAAAAAAACTGGAAGGAAATAATTGGCAAATTAATGAGGAAATCCATCAGGTGGTCACTTGCAGGATTTGCACTTCAGAGCACCTCCATTTTCTTTTACAATCACACATTAGGCTACAAAAATGATAGCATTTTTTTTCTTTTTTTTTTTTTTTTGATTGCAATGCTTATTGCAGGGGGAGGTGGAAAGGATGACCCAAAAGCCTTTCCCCAGTCCCAACTTTTCTGATTCATGATCTATTCTTTAAGATATCCAATGGGAATATTAATCTGTCATATAAAAACAATTAGCAGGAAGGTCACTGGAGTTCACTTGATAACAGTTATCACATGCTGAGGACTGCTCAGACAATAAGGGAGTTGGTGGGAGGAACTGAGGAAAACATGCAGAAAAGAAGTAAACTGTGAGCCAAAAAACTGATCTCTTTTCTCCCTTTGTTTCCTGGGCAGAATGAGTGTCTCAGCCAAACGCAGACATTTGTGTTTATAGCAGTTCCACATCATCCAGACGCTCTATTTTTCTTTGTTGACACGGGGGTTGTTGTCTGTCCAGAGGAGAGCTGTGACAAGCGAGTCTCAACCATTCCAGTCACAAAACACAGTTGCAGATACAAGACTAAGAAGGTGAAAAAAGAATCCATTTAAATATGTTTTTAAACAAAAGCAATAGATTGTTTTCCCACTAACCAGGCAATATTGGATTTTTTTAAAACTTTAGGCACTCCTGTGAAGTATAGGCAATGATTTCCCTGCAGAGTTCTCAAGCCAGCAGGAAGCAATGCTTGAGGAGCAGCTCTCAGCCAAAATACTGAGTGTTTCCTTGTGATTACAACAAATTCTCGTACAGTACCTACAGATACACTATCACCTTTTTTGGTTTTCTTCATGCACCACTGGAAAGCCATTTGCCCTTGCGTGCACAGAGCATTTCTTTTCTTCTGCATGCCTAGTCTGGCTGTTGACAGGACTCAGTGTCTCTTGGTTTCCGCCTAACAGACCAGCTATATATCCAGCAGGGAGTTGTTTTCTTCTTGTTTAAATGTCTAGAACAAAAGAACAGTCAGATCAATGTAGATTCCAACTTCAAAACATTGTGTGGACTCCACTTAGTTCATTGTTTGCCCCTGAGGCGACTACAATTTCTAAGTTGGAAAGGAAAGCTTGAGGGAAGGAAGGAAGAAACTGAAAGCATGTTTATTGAGAGGTACCAATATTAGCCAAAATCCCTCCAAGAGTATGTGAATGTTGCATGTCTGATACGTTCATGGGTAATCTCACATTCCTGGGAAAGCCCTTAAGAGCCTTAATTTCTTCTACTATGAATCCTAATGCTAGAATATTATAGAATATGCATTCTCCAAGCTTGCGTGCTTCACTGAAATAATAGTTTACTTCAGCCACTTTCCGGCTGAGCAGCAGTTAGCTGAGCCTTTAATCAAGGCTGCCTTGACATCATCCATAATTCTAAAATGTGAACAAAGCAGTGCTGGCAAGCTATGGGCTGTGAGAATGAATGGGGGGATTATTAAGCAAAGACATGTGCTTCAGTTTCACTTGAAACACAGTACATCACTAGTTGCCAACTAGAATAAAAAATATTGGAGAGGTTACTGGTCACATGGTGCATGGGGAGTAAAGAAGAAAATGAAAAGCTATGAAAAGCTTAATGGATCCAAGTTGAGGGAGGGAAGATTTAGGTTGGATGTTAGGGGGAAGTTCTTTACAAGGAGAGTGGTTAGGCCCTGGAACGGGCTGCCCAGGGAGGTTGTGGATGCCCCTTCCTTGGACGTGTTCAAGGCCAGGTTGGACGGGGTCCTGGGCAACCTGATCTGAATGTGTGTGTTTGGTGGCCCTGCTAGGCAGGGGGGTTGGAACTACATGATCCTTGAGGTCCCTTCCAACCCAAGTGATTCTGTGATTCTGTGAAAAGCGAATTGAAGCTCTCCCATTAGTGTTTTATCTTGACATTGTCAGTGCATAGCTCATTTCATCAGGATCCCCATGGGTCTCTGATTTCTGTTTTCACCCATCAGGTCACAAGAGCTGCCTACACATGTGAACCCTCAGGCACCTGACTGTGCATACTTGCATGCCACTACCGTGATGGCTTGTGGCTCAGTCACTGCCTGTGCAAGGCAAACACATGCACAATTTCCTATGTGCAACACTGAAATGTATGGGGAAGGTTCTGGATTGGGTTCCAGCTATATTCTGCAATTCGGGATGCCTCAGCCTGTCAGCAGAAAATTGCCTCGATGCTTACAAAGCTGTTGGATACTGCACTCCCAGGTATGTTCCAGGCAACAGGCTGAGGGAGATTAAAACTGAGCCCCCAGCAATGAAACTTAGAGCTGCTCCCAGATCGTTATGCACAGAGGAGCCAAGGTGGGTGCAATGATGCTCCCATCACTTCCCAAGAAGAATTCAAGATGTAAAAGGATTGTGCCCTGGATCTTAATCTTACATTTTTCCTCTACTCTAAGTGTCTATTGAGATTCTTGATCATCCGAAAAGCAATGAAAGCAAATGTTACAATAATACATATAAGTATATAAAATTGTAAAGTATATTTATGCAGGTCTGTATTGTTTTTCTGCTGATCTGGAAGTCTTTTAATACGGATTTATCAGTGATTACTATCTAAGCTGTAGCAATGAGGTCTCTTTCATAGGCTGCTCTCCTAATGGATTATGGAGCTCCTCTGAAAATTCATTTCATGAATCATAATGCTTTGAATCCCCAGGTCAGAATTTCAGCTGCTCTTTGTGCATTTCTGTGGCTCTCCCTACAGCTTTTCAAGTGGACTGTAGCTGTAGCTTCAAAGAAAAGCTATTTCACCCCCAGTTGTGCTCAGCTGGAACTGGTACGTTTGCAATTTGCAATCATTTGACGTGTTGAGGTTGAAAGCAAAGGAAATACTGGAAAATGGAGAAAATATACACTGAGCCTATACAGAAGTACATTTCCTTCCTTTCCATGTGCTTACTGCTCTGCCTGGGTGTCTGATGGAAAGATTTAATAACAACCCCTGACTGCAGCCATGGCAAAGGCCATGCTGGGTTATGCGTTTGTACTGCTGGAGCAGAGAGCACGGTGCTGAGCTGTGCTGCCTTGCCAGAAGAAATTACCTTCAAACAGAAATGTGTTTAAGTGTTCCATGATGTACACCTGTATGCATTTTCTGTACATATGTATAACATTATTTTTGGAAGTTCTTTACTGACAGCAGCAGAATCCCTTTTTAACACCTACCTGATAACCTGTCTTCTGTATAGCTAATCAAAATACTTCAAATAAAGTGCTGTTCTTTAAAAACATGAAACTATTTCAGGCTTCAAATCATAAAGAAGCTGGAATTCCTTGCTGAGGTAAGGAACGGTTGGGGAAATCTTTTAGTCCTGGCCTATGTCTTCTTCCTTCTCCAAATATTTTGCTGGCTGTAGTCCATTCAGAATCCTCCTAAAGGATTTGTGCAGGTCTAATTTGTTCCCCTTTGCCTTCCCTGCTCCTGCCTCAGCCCATCCAGTCCTTCTTTTCCCCTTTGCCTCCCAGAAGATGGTCATGACCACTTGAGGTGTTTGCCAGGCTCCTCAGGAGCCCATTACTCCAGGAACAAACTGACTCTGAAGATGGAAGATGACCACAGCAGGCTTCCAACCCAAGTTCTGTGGCTCAAACTCATTGCAAACACAATCTACCTTCTTTGCAACATCTCTGCTTTCTGGCTCTGACCCAGCTGGGCAGGCAGGTGAGCCCTGCTCTGTTTGCTGCTGTCTCACAGCATGATGCTGCTTAGTTTGACATTAAACATCTTGCATGCTGCGTGTGCCATAGCTGTAATGATTGCAGGCACAAGCCGTCATCGTTATCTCTGATTCTTGAACACTCGTTGCTACAAAAACTGTCTGAAGCACAGAGGGAACTGTCTTCATTATTGCATTATAGCTCACGTCTTCAAGACTGACTTTCTTCCAGTTTCACTGAAGAACATGTTGTCTAATGTATCACATTAACTACTGGCATTTTTTCCCCGCTTTTTCCTTTTCTAGTCATTCTTTACAAGAATGTGAGTGATGTCACCAGCTTTTCTATGAAATGCGTTATCCAAACCAGCCTCCTGGGGCTGGGGGCTTTTCATAATGGGATCCAAGTACAGCCGCTAAAATGACAGTCAGCCACACTACTTTGTTTTCCCAATCAGCAACCTCATAGCAGAGGAAATGTACTTCATCCATACATAAGGTAATGTGAGAGGAAACCGCTTCCCACGTAGACAAATCCCTGACTCATTCCTTTAGAACGTGGCTGAAACAACTGCAAAATGCCAACATAAAACAGCTCTGATATCCATTCAGTGGGCTCTCAGGCTTCCCAGCAGGAGGAGGAGGAGTGCAAGGAGGTGCTGGCTCATTAGTAGAGCACAGATCCAAAATGCCCACCTCTGGGCTCTGTTCCTAGCCTTGGGCATCCTTTAGGCTCATCCATGTGAAATGTTTACAGCAGTGCACCACTGCTCATCACAGGGTTGTTTAGGCTGGAGGAGATCTTAAAGATCACCCAGCTCCAACCCCATGCTGTGGGCTGGCTGCCACCCACCAGCTCACGCTGCCCAGGGCCCATCCAATGTGGCCTTGAGCACCTCCAGGGCACACCCACAGCTCTCTGGGCAGCCATGCAAGTGCTTCACTGCCCTCTGAGTAAAAAATTTTATCCTAACATCTAAACTAAATCCCTCCTTTTAATTTAAAGCTATTCCCCATCCCCTCATCCCCCTTGTCCGCCCATTCTGTGAGTCTGCTCTGATTTTAGAGGAGGTGATGGCAGTACTGTTATGCTGAGATCTAGAGATCACAAAATATTATACAGTGGTAGAATAATTATATTACTGCCCTGCCATCTCCCTCCATTTTAGCCGTGGGCAGCATTCAGAGCTTCAACCCTCTTGGGAAAGGACAGACCATGTGTCTGCAGCTCACTATGGTATTTCATTCACCCCTCCCCAGGAAAATGGTGAGGGATACCAATCACTGTAATCTCAGCAAATGGCGAGGTCGCTAATTGAGGCTGAATTTAAACAGCAGTAATTAAAGAAGGAGTGTATGTTTCTCAAAGCAGATTTGATTTAATAAATTATGCTGTTTAGATGGATACAACTGCTCTCAAGCCAATAGAAGGTGGTTTACAGAAGTGCAGCAGACTTACTGGGTAACTGAGACCTGAATTACCTGAATTGATAGGAAAGCGGCTGCTCTGAGTCTCCAGGGGGTTTCCACAGCCAATCTGTAATGCATTTAACTGGCCGCTAAAAGGCACTGTTCCATCCAAGAAATTGCTTACAGAATATGCGTAAGTGAGCTTTAGGATATTGCTGAAGTGTAAACAATGTGGCATCTACTTGCTGACTTGCTAAATTCATAGTAGGAATTATGTTGCCTTCCCCACAGCGTGCCTGAGTAAATAATCTTAGTTGAACTGACAGGTAATTTATAATACATGACACCTGAGAGTCCAAAAATCTTTCAGGTTAGGAAGTTTCGCAGGGTAGAGAACATTTGTAACTAAGGCAGGGAGACACGCTGGCATTTCCCTGCAGTTAAAAAGCCCTAACAAAACAGCATAATAAATAAATGCAATTAGTTTGCAGGATAATTCTACAATGGGACTGATCAGAAAACTATCCAGGTGTTCTATTTTTTTTTAGGCTGGAAGCTTGTGTACAGCAGCTAGTTGACAGTCTTAAAAAAAAAAAAAAAAATGGTTCAGAAAGAGTTCCACGAATGAAAATAAAAAATAGGACAGATGCTTCTCTCTCACGTTATGCAAGTTGTAATACTCAGACCTAAGGTCTGCCCAAAAATATCTGTAAGGGCTAAGATTTCACCCTTCTGGTGAGGATGGAAAGGAAACAAAGCATGAGGTGACAGCCTGGAGAGGGGGACCTACACCTTTCAGGTCAAACACTGTGCAGGCCAAGAGTTACTCCCTGTTCAAGGCTGTCTCTGACCACTGCTCAGTGCGTTACTATCTGGCAATCCCATAGCTAGTGAACAGGTCAACATGCTAAAAATCAACAGAAAAAAAACCACTGTCGTGGCTGGGCTCCCTGCTGGGAGCCTGAATAACAAGGTCATGGACTAAATAGCCTGTGATTTTCATGTTCTCTTCTCCAGATGATTCCCATTAGCAGTGTTAAAGACCAGCCAAATGAATTTTTACATTAGTGTTATTTACACCCCAAACAGGGAGAGAGTGCATAAAGATTTAAGGTAGGTCAAATGGAAGGAGCTCCCAAACCAGCATTCTATCTTACCATTTGAGATGGGTCTGCTCCATTCATTCCTCATTTTGACCTTACTCCTGGTTAATTCACTGCAGCAGTAGCCCATTGAAAACAAAAGGAGCAGTTCTTTATTTTAAGTCAGTTCAAATCCTAAGGGGAGAAATCTCATATTTAATCTGAATCTCAAATGTTATATCAGATATTTCGGTGTCTATCATTTATCTGTATTTTTTAAGTTTCTACAGAGTGACAGGCTAGATGCACAAAGTGGTATCTCTGTAAGCTCCCTCTGGGGAACAAGGTGTTTGACTTCATAGAATCACAGAACTCTAGCTTACATTCAGAGTATGCGGAGGTTAAAGGATCCTTAACTTTCTTCTTTCTTGCAGCACCCCTCAGTATAGATGTTTTAAGGACAGATCT